TTTTTCTTTCAAAATTTTCATTTTATATTTCTGTCAATTCATCTTTCTTCTAAAGAAAGTAACATCTCTCTGAATGTGTCACCACATTGTAACAGCACAAAATAATTAGTTGTGTTGATTTAATACAAAAGTGTCTTTGCAGGCAGCATTACGACCAACAGATGTGGTTCTGGAAGTTGGTCCTGGAACGGGTAACATGACTGTCAAACTTCTGGAGAAAGCCAAGAAAGTAAATATGTTTCATTAAATGTTTATTGCTGGATTTTAACTAGTGATTCATTTATTTATTTTTATTATTATTTTTCCCCAAATCATAATTACTTCATTTACAATAATTCAAAGGTAGTTGCATGTGAGTTGGACACCAGGCTTGTCGCTGAGCTCCAAAAAAGAGTTCAGTGCACGTAAGTGTTTTTCGTACACATTCACTGCCATTGCTGTTAACGCCTCAGCGCCTGTTTGATTGAAAAAATCTGTTTTCAATGCAGTCCAATGCAAAACAAGCTACAGATCCTCATAGGGGATGTTCTCAAGACAGAGCTCCCCTTTTTTGATGTCTGCGTGGCTAACTTGCCTTATCAGGTATTGGTTTAGAGATTTGTTTCTCCTTGGTTGCTGTAGATCTGTCTTCAGAGTTGCTGGTAACATTTTACAATAAGGTCCTATTAGTTAATGGTAGTTAATACGTTAACGTTCAGCAACACATTTGTTCCAGTATTTGTTAATTTTTTTAACGTTATTGAAAAGAACAGCTGTTAATTTTTAGTTCCTATTAGCTCAGGTCCTATAGATAATATTAACAGATTTGATTTTAATAATGTGCCGTATTTGTAAATGTTGAAATGAACAATAACTGAGACGAATTAATGCTTTAGAAGTATCTGTCATGTTAATGTAGTTAACAAATGAAACCTTATTGTAAAGTGAGATTTTATTTTATTTTTTTCTAGATATCATCACCTTTCGTGTTCAAGCTGTTACTTCACAGACCGTTTTTTAGGTAAGAAATTGGAGAAACCGTTTTTTTCAGGCTGGTTCAGTAAATGTGAGTGTAGAATAGAGTAAACAAACTACTCTAAAAGATGATTCACTCTTTAAACTGAAAAATGGGACTTACATTCCTACCTACTTCTATTATATTGATCATTATGATTTCTTCCATTCACATTTGTACAAGTGGCTCATTTGCTCCCAATTATACCATCTACGACTTTACAAAACCAGTTAAAACCCACTGCATTGCAATGGAAAATAATAATGAAAAGTAACGTCTGTTGCAGAGATGAGAAGTTATCACCATGTCAGTAATAGTGGTGGTTTGAGTTGAGTTTTGTATTTATTCTGTCTGTAGGTGTGCTGTGCTGATGTTTCAGAGGGAATTTGCCATGCGGTTGGTAGCTAAACCAGGAGACAAGCTATACTGCAGACTGTCCATCAACACACAGCTCTTAGCCCGCGTGGACCACCTCATGAAGGTCAGTGCCTGTTCAGATTCATTTAATGTATTCTCATTATTATTCATATGTGAAATCATATACTAAAATGCTATGATCATGAAGGTGGGAAAGAACAATTTCAGACCACCTCCAAAAGTAGAGTCCAGCGTGGTGAGGATAGAGCCTAAAAATCCTCCACCGCCAATCAACTTCCAGGTAAGTGTCCTTAATTTAAGTGTGTATGACTGACTGAGCAGTTATTGGAAATAATATAATCTTGTTTTTCCACATTTATAGGAATGGGATGGTCTTGTCAGAATTGCAT